GGACCAGGTCTTTTACTGGCCCGGCCGGTCCTTATTTCCGACCCGACAGCGCCCTTCTCAGGGCTATCCAATCCCTGTACATCCAAAGCGAGAGCTGTGACCGAGTACTCGGCAGTAAGTCGGACTCTTTCCAGGTGAGGGTTGGCCTTTGCCAGGGCTGCGCTTTGTCACCTGTCCTGTTTGTGATATTCATGGACAGGATATCGAGGCGTAGTCGTGGCGAGGAGGGGCTGCGGTTCGGGGGGCTTGGATCTCGTCACTGCTTTTTGCGGATGATGTGGTCCTGATGGCATCATCGGTCCGTGACCTTCAGCTCTCACTGGATCGGTTCGCAGCCGAGTGCGAAGCGGTTGGGATGAGGATTAGCACCTCTAAATCTGTGGCCATGGTTCTCAGCAGGAAACCGGTGGAGTGCCAACTCCAGGTAGGGAATGAGTCCTTACCCCAAGTGAAGGAGTTCAAGTACCTCTGGGTCTTGTTCACGAGTGAGGGGAGACTGGAGCAGGAGATTGGCCGGAGAATCGGAGCAGCGGGGGCGGTAATGAACTCGCTTTACCGCACCGTTGTAACGAAAAGAGAGCCGAGCCGTAAGGCAAAGCTCTCGATCTACCGGTCCGACCCTCACCTATGGTCGTGAAGGCTGGGTCATGACCGAAAGAACGAGATCGTGGGTACAAGCGGCCGAAATGGGTTTCCTCAGGCGGGTGGCTGGTGTCTCCCTTAGAGATAGGGTGAGAAGCCCGGCCATCCGCGAGGAGCTCAGAGTCGAGCCGCTGCTTCTTTGCGTTGAAAGGAGCCAGTTGAGGTGGTCTGGGCATCTGGTAAGGATGCCTCCTGGACGCCTCCCTAGGGAGGTTTTCCAGGCACGTCCAGCTGGGAGGAGGCCTCGAGGAAGACCCAGGACTAAGTGGAGAGATTATATCTCCACACTGGCCTGGGAACGCCTCGGGATCCCCCAGTCAGAGCTGGTTAACGTGGCTCGGGAAAGAGAAGTTTGGGGTTCCCTGCTGAAGCTGCTGCCCCATGACCAGATCCCGGATAAGCGGATGAAGATGGATGGATGGGTAGTTCATCCTCTCAATGGCTTACATACAGCCTAGTCTTGGTCCTGGGCTGGATCTGGGACTGGAGCATTTTGGAGGAGGAGCGGAGTCCAGAACTGAATCAGCCGGAATAGATTTCATGACGTACCTCAGTTCAGGAAGACATAATGTGTTAGTTTGTTCTTATGTCTTTTTAACAGTTTCCTTCTTATCCTTATTTTATCGAGTCACATGTTTTGTTTTAAGTCTTTCTTCTTTCCCTCAGTTCCAGTTGATGTAGCACTCCGTCTTAAATGATAGGTTTCATCTCTTTTCCCATCTTTAAAAGTGCCTTAAGCTGGTCCAAATATTTTGAATTAAGACATCACATTTCAACCCACTTATCAAATTGTCCCAAAGATGTTTTATCTTTTTCAGTCATCCATTTTACAACTGGCAGTCCTAACGAACCCTAAGACTTCTTTCCTAAAGTCGACACTAGAGGTTGAGTAACTACTAGTTAGTTTGTAACTTAATCAGCTACTAAAATTGGTTGCGCCACAATTACTTGGGCCATAACTGAACTAGCTTAGGCGTAAAGTCATAACTAAGGCATGTGTCTTGTCACGGCCGTGAGCATTACTGAGCCGCTCAGCATCTTAGCACGTCACAGAAAGCTCCACGCTGAAGATCAGCTCCTCCACCTTCTCCTCCTCTGCTGCTCCGTCTTCTTGGCTCCTCGCCGGCCGGCCGGGCGCTTCGCCGGAGCTGCAGAGGACGGAGACGAGCAGAGTTACGTCTGCTGAAGTCTAAATTCTGCACAAAGACTCTTGTTCATTAGTTATTATTAATCCATCACAGTTTGAGTGACGTCTTCAAAGTGTGAAACTTTGTACAACATTCAGGACCCAGAGGGACGTTTCAGCAGGAAACAGGAATTAAACTACATTTAAAAGCTGTTACTAAATATTTTTGTCGAGCCACTAATCAACTAATTATTTCAGCACTGAAACAGTTTGGGCTACTGTAGAAACATGGCGGTGCAACAGGGTGACCTCCATGTGAGAGGTGTCTGTAGACAGAAAATGTCTCATTCTAAGGTAATAACAACATTAAGGTCTTTATGCAGCGCTGAGAACATAGTTATGGACCTCATCTTGCATTTCTGTCATTAGAACACACTGGACCTCGTATGTAACGTAGTTATTTTGACCCAAACCATGAACTTTTCCTAAACCTGACCCAACAGATGTTTCACAACGTTAAGCACTAGTTTTATTTCAGGCTGCGACGTTCTGCTCTCTTGAGCTCTGCAGCTGAAGTAGCTGAAATAAATAATAGAAAGGAAGAACATGTCGGTGCACCTCAACACGTTTCTTTCTGTAACTCTTCCTCTCCTCTCAACACAGAAAGCTCTTTTCTCATGCAGAGTTTCAGGGTGGAGGCAGTCTCTGGGAGTTTCCACTTCCTCTCACACGGTTTTGGTGACTTCCTGTTTGCTGAGGGGACTTCCAGCAAACGCAGTTTAGCCTTGAGCTGTTTGTATTTCTGGTATTCTTCCTTCATCGGAGTGCGATCCTCTTTCTGGCAGATTCTGGCAGTAAACACAAGAGTGGCCATATTATCATTTACTTTTCATTTAGGACGTTTCCTATAATAATCCATCTTCACTGATCAGGTCATGTATTCTGGATCTAAAACCTTAATGTCCAAATTCAGAGGAGTACACAAGGTACCTGCATTCTTCCTACTTATTTATTTATTTATAATTATTTACTTGAATATTTTAGGAAACTGCGTACTTACTGCTGCATTTAGTCATTTCATCAACAAATAAAATGAACTCCACCACGGGACGATTTAAAGAAAACATTTCACTGATAATTACTGAAGTAAAAGTACAAGAGTATTCATCTTGAAGAGCTTTTAGTTTTACAGAATGGAATTAATAGTTAATACTGGCAGATTATGGGTTAGAGGGGGGGTGAAAAGGATGCACGAGGGAGGCCACATGTCTCCGTTTGGTCTCTCACCTTCCAGTCTGACGGTAAAACTCGTCCTAGAACTTTGAAACATCTAGATATTAAAATTCCATCACATAGTCCATAGTGTTGTGGTGGCTTCTGCACATCATGCTTATGATCCAAGAACCCCAACAGAGGCACTGTTGATGCTATGGCCATGGCAGCAAACATCTGTGTTGTTCCTGACTGGAACATGGGAGTTAAAAGTGGCGGAAAACAAACCGGGAGTCGTCACAAGGTAAATTCGGCGACAAGCAAGAGAACAAGTGTAGGCAGATAAGTGTTATTTCCACAAAACAAAAGATTTTAATAAAAGTACGAAATCAAAAACTCTGTCAGCAGCGTCGTGTGTCTGCTTTTAATGTCGTGTAAAAATTCAAGACTTGGGCCAGATAAGAAAGCTTGAACTTTTACCAACATTTTTATTATCAACAAAAACAGACACCAATTACAATACAAAAGTTCCACCGGAGTGTGTCAGAGATCGGTGCAAAATAGAGCCCCATTCTGTTACCAGAACAGAGACCCGAGTCGACATGAAAACCATGTAACGACTGACTTTCACCTCCTTTTGGACCTCCTTTTATAGCTCTGTTTCTTGGCTTTACATCATCTCTTGGCCCTCTTTCCTGCTGCACCTGGGTCTGGGAAAGTCCCTGACTGCCTGCTCCTCCTCTCTGTGTCCTCTGCATGAACTCTGCTTGATCATGCCATTTCTTCCATAACCTGACTTTTGTGGAATAAACTGGTGTTGTTTGTGCTCTGTGCAAGAAACAGGACATTCTTACTGTGATGGACTATATTGATGTATGTTTTGTTATACAATTTGCACAAAATCTGCTTCTATATTTTACTTTGCAGGTATTTTTGATGCTGCCTCACTGTGCTCCCTCCCTTTTCTCCCAAAGCACACGAACTTGCTCACACACACACACACACACATGTGCCTGGGCAGTTAGATACAGAAAGGAGCACAAACACTCAGAGCTGTAGAGTTTTAACACTGTGATCCTAACTTTACACTATAAAATAACACTTTAAATGATGACAATGTAGACCACCATTGCTCTAGTAATAAATTATAACAATTTAGGCTATAATGCTCCAAAATAATTCTCCTCTGAGGCTGTAAAGCCTCACACTTCATACACCAACACTGTGACCACTGAAAATAGGCGGCCTAGTGTATTTGCATATGAAACCTATTTCTCAGACTTGTAGACCTTTAAGAAAATACCCAAATTAGTGTTTACACATTGTGAAATAATCAATAATCATGCGGTGGGATGTTCCTGTTTCTAACACATTACTCCTCTCTCCTTATTACCCTTTAAATGAGTTTCCCTTTAAATGAGCTTAACATATTAAACTACCTATACGTGCTATAATATAGTGAGATATACCTTGTAAATGGTTTACACTCGTGAAACAAATAATATCTTATGCAGTGAGCTGTTCTTTTCTTATATACTTTAGCAAGCTAACAATTATAACAACACCTAATGTGTTGAAAGGCACACATCATCAAAACAATCACATGGTGCATAGTGAACTTTCCAGACATAACAGTGTTTCAACAATCATTCATGTGACACTTCAGAATGGTGCAAAATGTCCGATTAACATGTATGATGTCCATTTTAAAGTTTTAATCCGTGGTACTGTGGAACTCTTTTTTTGGCACTCAGGTTTCTTGGGGAACAGACTGGGTACCAATTTGAGGGCACTCAGTCGTTTGTAGTTTCAGTCTTGTTCTTCCTTTTGCTGGTTCACTTGGACTCATAGCTGGTGATAGTCAACGTCGTCTCTGTGGTGGTGCAGGTCGCGCTTGATCTTGCCTGCTGCTGTGTCTGCATCACAAGGCCTCATAGGAGAGTGGCCTCCTCTGGTCTTTGACTGGCTGTGAAGAATTATTAAGCTTGCTTGCAACTGTACTTGTTACTATTACCAATAAGTGAGCTTTATCCTACTGTTTGTAGTTTAGAGACTTTAACTATTGTTTCTATCTGTCTAATCTTTTTCTAGATATCCTAGATATTATATTTGCTTGCAATTTAACCCCTCTAACATCCTGTATATCTGTGTATTGAATTACATTGCTATTGGATGTACAAATAGTAAATCTTGAAATAACACTCCATTATTCATTAGGGCACTACAGTTCTTCCATACTTCAAACTAGTTTACTAATACCTACAAAAACAGAAAGAAAACACAAATTAACTCAGGTGTTCAACAAAAACAGAAAGAAAACATAATTAACTCAGGTGTTCAGCATCACACATGTGTCTCAGGTTATCATTACAGTTGCTTGGTTGTTCCTGTGGAATACATGACAAAGGTCAGTCATGATTTAAGACTCACAATCATCATATTTAAGCATGCAGTAGCAATGTGCTGCTGAAATTGCTTTATAAAGGCTTCAATGAGGCTTCTCCTTTTCGGCCTCTTTAAAATCAAGCCTGAAAGGTTGCCTGTCATTGTATTTGCTACATCGAGGAGCTCTGCGCTGGCTGTTCCTCTGCACAAATCCAGAGCAGACAGTGATCTCTAACAGTTATACTATAAAAATAACCCCACTAGATTCCCTTTTTCTAAAAACTCTGTTTAAAAACACAAGGAATTCCTGACGTTCTGATCCCTTTTTGCTGAAATTCAGTATCAGGTGGCTGCTGGAGGAGAGCAGGACACCAAAGTTATTGACTCAGTATATTTGTGTTAATGAATCAATTATTAATGACATATCTTGCTATTTTATAGATCCTGAGCTAACCTTATTCTTATTCAGTCTTTTTGGATTTAACATCAGTCCCTATTTTCTTTTTTCTTCCCCTATCTTTCTATTTTTTCTTCTCCTACAAATTATCAACACTCCCGCTCCCAAACTCTTGTGAGGTCTTCAAACAGTTCTTTTTCAGCAGATGTTGCAGTTTTCAAGGCCTCTGACAGTCTGACCATTTGTAATGTTGATCATGGTGAGACAGAGAGCTCTTCCTTGGTGATGTCTCTGTCAGCACTCAGTCACATGTGAGAGCATTTTGGCTGAAGTTCATTTTCACAGTGAAGCCTTCTTGACCTTTTAAACTTTGTGCTGTTAGGTTCACAGTCTTTAAGGTGGTGTTGTCCTCTTTCTGATTCGACTGTAGATGGTAGATGTGGTCTGACTGGCTGCGTCCTCAGCGTTGGGAAGACGCTGACGTCAGTGGAGGTGGGCTTGGGCCTGTGATGCATCAGGTCGGCACGCCTCTCTGTGAAACGCCTCCTGTATCACCTCCCTCTCTTCCTCACAGTCAGATTCTGCTGTGTCCATTTTGAAGCTGCTCTCTCGCCTTCTTCATGAAACTTCAGAGCTGCCATCTTGTCCATTGTAGCTCTGTCTCGCTGTCGTCATGTCTCATGGTTTGTTGTGCTCTGCAGGTATCTTGGTCTGTAGGCAGATCTTTTGTCTTTCTGAGATCTGTGCTCTGACGAACTTTTCACTTTGTTTGGGAGTTGTTATTCTTTCTATATCTAGCTCTCGTCTCCTCCCTTCTATTATAGCCTCTCTTTTTCCATCTCTCCTTTATATCTTAACTCAACCCTTTAAAGACCCTAATTCTTTTCCTTCTTCTTCTGCCTGTACTGGCCCTTGACTGCACTTACTTATATCTTTCTTCCACTTGCTGTATACGTTTCTTCATCTGGGGGTATATCTATTTAGACCTTATCAGGATGGGCTCTTTCATTATTCTGTCTCAGTGACTACGTTTCCTTCACTCAAGGCTATATAGTTTGTCAATATTATCTACCTGTTGGTCAAACTGTTTCTCCCTATTTTCCCTTCATTCTGAGCTTTCTCTATCTCTTATCTGACGTCTTTTATTTTATCTTTAACTACTTAGTTGTGCTGTTACCACATATGTTGTTGCCACAGCTCCCTCCTTTGACCACCTTTGCAGCTAATATTTCTTTTTTCTGCTCTTTACCATTTAATTTCACCTGCTGTGTGCCTCCCAGGACAGCCCTCGCACACTCACTGCGAGCAAACACTTACTCTCTGGAAACTTTAGAATTTGGTCGGCCTTCATGTCTCAAAAAGGAAAAAGACAGTTAATTGTAAAGCCACACAACCAAGAAACTAGAATGAAACAATTCATTGAAAGAAACTCAGGCAGCTCTCCTTGTTTCTATATCAAAGAGCTATTCAACTGAAAAATCATCAAAGCAGAGTTTACTAAAAATGACTAACATCAGTGAAACTAACAACTATTAAAATATCAAATTCATTTTCTTACATCTAATACAAAATTGATGTCTCTCAATCCCTTCTCTAACTTAAATCCTTCATAGATAATACCTCACATTGCTGCCTATCAATCTGTACTTCTATGTTTCAATAAATTTGCAAACTTTATCAGATGTCATCATTTTTCTAGTTTTGTTCCTTCTCCTCGACCAAAAAGTGTTTCAGCCTGTTATTCTGAACTGAATTTCCTTTATTATCATAATACTTCAGTAGGCTGTTTCAACTACACTTTTCTTTTCTGTATCCAGCAGTCATTGCCGTTCTTTTACTAATCTGCTTACTGTCAAGCTGTTATTGGTTCAAAAAACTTTTGTAACTTCTGTTATTATTAACTCATGAGTAACTTGCTATAATGTGCTGTTGTTATCCTAGAAAGGTGCAACAGATCACAAAACTCTCATAACTTTTGGTTTAGGGCTGAACTGCTCTCTTTTTCTCTCTCTCAGCCTGCTGTCCTCCCCCACATGGACACACTCACTCACACAGACACTCCTCAGCTCCTGCTCTGTGCCTCTCTGCTAGTGTGAGCAAACTCCTTTTTTTCTCTTTTCTCTTCCAGTCTTCATTATTCGGGCGTGGACTGCCACTTCAGAACTTTATTTTGCACATAGCTTTATCACAATTCAATCTGAGACTGCATCAAAGCCATCTTTTACACTATACTAGTCCACATTCACTATTTCATCAATATATATTCATATATCTATTACTTTATAACTCCTTCCATCAACTTCTTATACTTATTTATATCACCATATCAACTCTATTCATCTGTTATCCTTAAGCTTTATGTTAGTTTAATATTAGATCAGTTATCCAACTGTCATTATTCTATACTTTTTATCTAATGGTCTTAAACATGAGGCTTCAAGACTCAAACTATTAGTATTATTATTTTAGGCCTTGGTAACATTTATATGCACTTTTTCTTAACACACAGCTATCAACTATTTTCAGCAATATTTACATGCACGTACGTCTTCTGACTCCTATTTCCTGCCGGCTTCTGACTTAATATACATTACCTAGGCTTTCAGCTGAACTAGTCTGATCCACTTCCTCAACACAGACTTAATTTACACTGCCTAGGTTTA